AGTGCTAGGGAGACCAGGTGTCTTGCCTGCCTCTTCTCTTGTCTGCCCTTGCTGGGGGTCAGCTGAGAAGGGCCCACAGGGATATCTTTCTTCATGTGACCCTGCCCTCTAATAGGGAGGGAAAAATTGGCCAAGAATGTTTGGGATTTTTCGGTAGTTGCAGGGTTTTGTTTTTGGTTTTGTTTAATTCAAGCAAAGTGTTTTTGTGCTTTGCGTGGCTTGTGTCAGGGGTGAGCTTGGCACCTAACCTGTACCTGCGGCGTAGGACACTCAGCAGCATTAAGCATCCTTATCAGCAGCAGCCCCGTGCTGGTGCGTTATCAGAAGACAGCTATTAGCGGGAATGCACGATCCAGAATCACTTGTCTGGGGAGAGCTTCTGGAACTCTGGTGATCTCTCACTTCATATTTACTATCTTGGGAACTCTCCATTGCTCCATGTCACCTGCCCGGCTCAGCAACTGCAGCCTCCTATTCACTTTTAAAGAACCCATCTTTCTCTCCCTTCCTCCATTTTCTTAACTTTCACTTTTTTAAAGTCCATTTTATTGGCACCAAAGCCGCCCAGTAGGGACATCAGCCCAGGACTGCAGTTGCTGTCTGAGTAAAGGTGCAGCGTGACCTGGGTTTACCTGCTGACCAAGCACTGGGACAACAGGGCACAGCAGAGCTCTCGTAGCTGACAGACAGCACGAGTCCTCACCTGGTTGTCAGCGGTGACATCTGTCTTTCCAGCTTGAGAATGTTAACACCTGTTTCATTCCTCTTGGTTGGTAGGCAGCATATTTCTTGCCCTATTCCTTGACTCTTTGGGACACAAAACCAAATCCACAAGCTGATAAATAAATGCTCAGCGTAGCCTTTGAATTCTCCCAGAAGGCCTCAGGGCTGCCCCAATTCTCCCAGCCTTCTGACCTCACACCTCAGTCTGTACCAGTGTTTTTCACATGTGGGTCTTGGCCCATCACAAATCTGAAGTTAATTCAGTGTCAGGGCCAGGGTTACTTTCTTTAATGAAACAGAGCAGAGACCATCAGGGTATAGCACTTCCAACCAAGATTAATCATTGTCTCATGGAAACTTATATGTAAGTGGCTATGCCCATATGTCAATGTGTATGTGGGTCATTCACAATACAAATTAAAAGTTTGAAAAGCACTCATCTTCACAATCCTTCATCTGCAGAAGTAGCTTGACTTAGCAGATTTCTGACACTCAGACATTCAATATCATAAAACCCTTTTATGCAGGCCCTGCCCTGGACCCCTGATCTGGTAGTCGAGTCTGCCTGCCCAGCCCATTCCCTAAGTACCTGCCTATGCCAGCCCCATATCTAGGAATTCCCTGGCCAGCACACAGTGCCCACCACTGTGCTCCAGTCCGAGGGTGCCCAAGACTCCACCCCATGACCTCCCCAGGGCTGAGCACCAGGAGGGCAGTCTACACTCCAGCCATGCCTGTGCTCCCAGATTCTGCTCGAGTACCCCAGGACCCTCCACTCCTACATAATCAGCATTATCGCTCTGCCATGCTCAGTTACAGCGTTGTTCACCTCCAAATCTTCACTGTTTCTCACTAGCTTTATTTTTTTTTTTTAAGATTTATTTTATTTATTCATGCATACAAGAACTGGAGTCCAGGCCAGAGGTGTTGGGAAGGGATGAGAGGAATTCACCAGAGACAGAGTGGGGAGCAGAACAGGCAGACTGACTGAAATACACTGCTGAGGGGAGCAGCAGGCGAGATAGGAGAGGTCTGCTGTGCCATGTGGGTCAGCTCCCTGGCCGGGGATCGAACTCAGGCTCAGTGGCTGGCGATAGTTTGATAGCACTGAGACTAACGCCTGCACCACCTTTAGTATCTGACGATCTAGATTATAGGGTTCAGATATGCCACACAGTAACTTTGTGATTTGGTGCGTATGATCCTCATCTGGAAATATCAATCACAGAGCCCAGAGACCTCAGCAAATACCCACTTTTTCCCTCCTGGCACTTAGAGGTGGGTTTTACTCTGGTACCTGTACTCACTGGGTCTGTTTTTAAGTTGCAGCTTCTCTCCATCTGCCCCAATAAGTCATGTTAGCTAAGCCGAACTGGAGGACCCTGAGTTGATATGTGACCTTAAGACTGATTTCAGCTGGGAAGGGGTTTCTTCTGAGGCTACAAGCCAAAGAGAAGTAAGAGTCTGTCCAAAAGAAAAGAAATAATTGATTAAAGCAGGTGTAATACTCTAGTTTGCAGGCAACCTCTATGTCCCCTCTCTTTCCTATCTGTGTGAACGGTGTGGGTGTGCATGGATGTGCTTGCTTTTTCCCCAGTTAAATGGGGGCAAGCAAATAGCCTGCTTCAGCTTCTTCCTCTTGAAGAGCTGGAGCTCCACTGCTGGGAAGCGGATGTCACAGAGGCCTTTGAGTCTAAATAGACTGTTTGGGGTTTGATCACATGGGCCCAAAAGGCTTTCTCCAGACAGATTCTGAATCCATTTCAGCTTGATTTGTTGAACTCCCTGGGCTCGGTGAGCCATCTTGTCTTCTCGGTTTAATCTATTGGTGACCCCCAAGACTCAGAGTGAGCTGGAAGGAACTCTTGATCTCTGAGGTTTCAGAATACTGAGAAAGTGACAGAGGAATAAAGTAGGTACATCTATTCAGTCATATTCAGAAATTTTTGTGCCTTTTTAGTGAAAATTCTTTACCCATTTCTCATTGCTCTGTGAGTTAGTTGCCCTAGTCTCCTTCTAATTCTGGTCCCCAGGTGAAAACTACCCCATTCACAGCACCCCAGTTCTGTCCCACCCTGCGGCTGCTTAGTGTTAGAAACAAAGTGAACACTTGTTCCAGCCACATACTCTCTCCTGCAGCAACGCTAGTTCTCTGGTTTTGTGGTCCCAACAAGCTCAATAGAATTGTTTCCTTTTCTCTGACAGTCTGTTCTTGCTTCGTTTGCAGATATAAAATGAAAGTGTTCTTGCTATTGATGTTGTGAAAATCGTGGGCTATCTTTCATTCCATTGTACTCCAGCCCCATCTCTCCCTTCAAGGTGACTCCCAGCTTCCTTAGCTCTCTGAGTTTAATGCTGATACTTTACAAAACTACGTTCTACTTCTCCCTGCAGCCTGGCCCTGAATTGTAGGGCTGAGGCTGCCCCAGGACCTTCTTGCACCACTGGCACCTGGGAGCACCTCCAGCTGTCATGTCTTTGCACGGCCGGGGCCATGGGCCTGGCCACCAGCCCCAGCTGCTCCTGGGCTGCAGCCTGTCTCCTGATGCTGCACTCCTGTCTAGCGTGTCGTTTGATGTGATGTATTCCCTTTGTGAGGCCTTGAGGCTTGGAGCGAGAGCTCTCTTCTTGATCTTCTGAAAACCCAAGGTATAAACTATTCCCGTTCCTCTGAGCTTTATGACCTTGAATCTGTTCTGTGGCCAGAAACATGAACAGTCACCTGGCTTCATCCATAAGAGATGTGCCTTCTGTCCCAGCAGCAGTGGCCCCTCTTCTCCCAGAGGCTCCCCAGAAGGTATTTGCAGAAGGTATTTGCAGTCACTGAGATGCCTGCCACTGTGCCTCCCCACACCACACCTCTGTCCCTTCACCCCAGTTGTTTGTCATAAGCATTCAGAGACTTGGAGCCTGAGTGCATCCTCAGGGTGCACCATTTTGACTATTTCGATCATTTTCTTTTCCTGTGTTTCATTCAGACTTCATAATGCAGCATATTTCATGGTCTGTCACAGAGGACCACTGTTGGTGATAAATATATTTGCAAAATGAATGAATGAATCAGAGAGAAAGAAAAGGCAATGTCAGTTGATTAGTGATATCTGTTTTGTATAAAATACTATCTTTGAATCTGACCAGCCACGTGTGGAGTCAAGATGACAGATTGCACCTCCCTGGTGGCCTAGGGGTTAAGTCTCAGTGCTGTCACCACTAAAGCCTGAGTTAGATCCCCAGCCAGGGAGCTGACCCACAAGGCGCAACAGACCTCTCCTGTCTCTCCCACTGCTCCCCTCAGCAGTGTATTTCAGTCAATCTGCCTGTTCTGTTCCCCACTCTGTCTCTGGTGAATCCTCTCACCCCTAAATCTGGCCTGCATCCCAGTTCTCTGCCAAAAAAAAAAAAAAAGAATACAAAATTTTGAGCATGGATCATTGCTAATAGTAATAATAATGATAAAGATAATTAGAGTTAAAATGTATTCAACTTTTCCATATGTCAAGCTTTGTAATAAGTATTTTACATACATAGGCTTCCACGTTCGCACAACAACCATATGAAGTAGATATATTATTCTGCCAGTTTTACAAATATGGAAACCGAAGCTTTGACTGGTCAGGGTTTCAGAACTAAGAAGTGATAGAGTTGGGAGATGACTCCTGGTCTTTGTGGTTCCAGGCGCCCAGTATGTCATCGGTATTCTGTTTCTTCTGTCTCTCATTCTGGATGAGAAACTGTTAGTATCATAGGCCAAAATATAGCCCAAGGACAGGGGGGGGAAGCGTGTTTGAAGAGGAAAATGATGCTGATTGAGTTAACACTTTCAGATTTGATGTGAAAGTCAGGTTGTAAAGAGAGAATGTCTGGGAGCCTCCTGGAATGGATCTCGGGAACAGCATGGCTGAGGCATCAGTCTAATCTAGGTGAGAGCCATTTGTGAGTGACTGTTAAAGCTTTAAGACTGTAGGCCTGTGCGGAGCCAGACGTGCAGATGACAATTCATCCCACATCTCAGTGGATGTGTTCCCTGTACATCTCTGGGGAACTCTCTGGGCTGGCTTGATAATTCCCAGGGCTTGTAGCTGAGATCCCCTGTCTGTTGCTGCTGCTGTGATATTGGTTTTTCTACCTGGTAGAACCAAGCTCCTCCCCTTCTCCCTTTCGCAGGTGCTCGCCTTCAGATCTAGGGCCTGCCCATTTGAGTCGTCCAGGCACTGCCCTGGCTGGCAACAGGCCTGGTAGGCCCTCTCCTCATGCCTTCTCCTCTTCTCCTGACACAGGCATTGAATGCCCCAGAGGAGCCCGAAACCTCCCAGGCTTGGTGCAAGAGGGGGAGCCCTTCAGTGAAGAAGCCACACTTTTCACCAAGGAACTGGTGCTGCAACGAGAGGTAAGGACGTCTTCCAACTGCTGCTGGTGTGAGGAGGGCAGAGAAAACGTTTTCCTGCCATGTCAGAGATCAGTGTGTCCCTGTTTCCAATGCTCAGCCTCCACGTCCGTGTTCTGTCTGCCCACATCTTATTTCCTGGAGCCCTGCATCATTGGCCAGCCACCCCCAAATTTCTGCTCCTCACCACTGGTGTCCTGGGATGCACGGTGAAGGCCAGGCCAGGCCAGCCTAGCCAGGATCCTGATGCAAGGAGCTTACAGCTTTGCAGTCCTCCTTGGCGAATTAGCCTGAGCTGCCTGCCTCCAGCTGGATTTAGAAGCTTGACTAACCCTGTCAGGGGCCAATTTTCTTTGAACATTTATTTGTATCTTTGAGTAATTGCATTTTCTGTAGCGGGTTTTCTGACTTAATTTAATTGTATTTCTGTTTCTGCCTATTGGGCTGGCTCTTGCAGGCAGGAGTTAGGCTTCTGGGCTGCTGGTGCCTATCTACCTGCTAATTTGTATCAGGTCATAGTCAGCAGATCCATCTTCTTTCCTGGAGTCTGCCAGTCACTCATCTAGCAGGTGGGCACAAGAAAGGAATAGCAGGGGAGTGTGCTGGACTCAGGCTTAGGATTTTAGATCTGCCTCCTTTCTCATTTCTTTCACGATCAATCCACAGGGACCCTCCAGCTTTCCAGCAATATACGATGCAAAGAGCTAAAAATTGTGGGGCCCTAGAGGTTACCTCACTCATGGGCTTTTGTAGCTCCTTCAGATAAGACATGTGGACTTCTTTGGAATGTTAAGTGAAACAAATATCTGTGTATAAATTTCTGCATCTTTCTTTGGATTGAATCGCCAGTGAATGTGTTCTGTGTGAGCGGTCCGGAGACCAGGCTGGCCCTCCTTGCTTGTGTGGGACGACCCTGGCCTCAAGACAAGCACCACTTTTACTTGTGACCAAGCAGTATTTTGCTGCCAGTGCCTCTTTGGGATTTCTCTAGCTCTTGCCATCTCATTTTGTCGAAAAAGTAGTGTGGTCAAAGGAATCCCGAGTTCTTCGAGAGTGATGCTTCGCAAACAACTATAACCACCTGGCTATTGCACCTGCTCCTTTGCCAGTACAGTGGTTGGAGATTTGCAGTCTTAACCCCTAAATTTTCGCATTCACACTGCCTCTGGTTGGTTTTTTCATAAATCCATGCATGTGTGAGAAGAAGGAATTCTCATATTGGCATGCAAGGTACCTTCCCCACGCTCCCTACTTTGTAACTGAACAACATAATTTGAATTTTTATCAGCTAAAGATAGCCCCCTCCTAAAGGAGTATCTTAAGATTCCAACACTCCAGTTGTCTGTCAGTGACTGTTGGATATTTTAGATGTGACACAGGGATTAGGTAGAGGGGCAAATATTTCAGAATTTCCTTCCATGCAGGTCTTTGAATAATGATAAAGGCAGTCAGGGTCATGACTGGAAGATAGTGATCAATTCTGGTTTGTTGGGCTTCATGTAAAGGGAGGAAATCCCCTCACTGACTTGCCTGAGATATTTGTTAGTAACATTGGCATCATTTAGCTATCTAAAATCCTTTTTGTTTTGTCTCCTATTTCTCAGCAGTCCTCTTCCAATTGTTTCTTTCCTTTTCTTTATCAGCTCTTGTTTCAGAGGTCACACTTTCCTACCTAATCCCATTTCTGGCCCATTGGTGATACCCAATAGCACCAACGGGTCCAAGAGAATACAGACCCTTCAAAGGCCTATGAGCCAAGCTCCTTGACTCTCCCTTGCCTGATATCACCATCACCTTACCTTTGTGTACTTGCTAATACTTGACTGTAGAAAAAGGGAAAATTTTTCCCCATCTTCTTTGACACCATCGACAGGTAAGTGAGTTTGCAGATCCTTGGTCTAATCCCAAGTTGATAATTTGTCTTTGTTTGTTGTGCCCAGTCTTTCAGTTGGGCATCTCTTGATAATGAACCTTGTGCATTGTCTTTTAACTGTCATATGATTGCCCGAGTTGACTGTTTTGAAAGGTTTTCATCCAAAGGAAACACACGGATGGTCTCAACTCGGGATAACCAGGGAGCTGACTAAGGGAACTAGTTGTAGCCCAGTCTCCTGGGCAGTTCACACAAAGCATGGAAACTTTTTTCAGTAATGTTGGAATGAAGAGAGGTTTTGGTAGAGATTTATTCATTTACTTTTATCTTTATGTATCTTCATTTGTATTCCATATGCCGTCTGGGGAATATTTTTCCTTTCCCGCCTCCCCCGCAACAAGCCTCCATCCCCCCAGGTACAGATGCCCTCCTTACCCTTCAGAGTAGACATGTGCCACCGCACAGCCATGTAGCACGGAGCCCCAGCCCCCCGCCTCACAGAGCTCGTACTTTCAGGGGAGCCCTGTGGGCCACATTCTCCAAGAACATCTGGAGAAGAGCTGCTGCTGTGGTGGCCACAGCTGGCCTGGATGTTTGTACCTGTGCCTATTTCCTTATGATCAGACTTAGCTCGGATAATCAGGTTTTAGGAAGATGTTATTGGCCTTGACCCTGCCCCATCCTACCCTTTGAATTTTTCTTTGTACTATCTTATTTTTAGCCAGGATTTCTCAGCCTCTTGAACACTTTTTCCAATTACTATAAACTTGCATTATCATCTAGGAAAGAAGGAAACTGTATGGATTTCACAGTTCTTCTTGGGCGCCCTGTGCGACTCCCCAGAGGCATGCCCTTCAGGTTGGGACACATGTGAGCCTGTGACGGGACTGGAGAGGGAAGGCCCTGTGTGCTGGACACCACCTCTAGCCTGTCCCCTGCCAGGGGGTGGACAGAAAGCTGGTGGGCAGGTGCCTGGCCCTGAGAAGTCACTCCCTGTTTTGAGATGTGTGCTCTTGGGTTTAGGTACCCCATACAGGGTGGGGCCTACTCCTCTGTTTTCAGTGAAGAGAGAATTGTAGCCACTCTACAGCATATCCTCACATGGGGGCTGCACAGCCTAGATCAGCGTCCTCTTGACATTTCAGGTGCACCCCCCCCCCCGCCCCTGCTGGCCTTCCCTGTGATTACCATGACACCCGCATAGCTGGTCATCATTCACTTCCATTTTCCCAAGTGTCTTCCTACTCCCTTTCCTTGCGTTTCTTCTTTTCTTTCTCCTCAGCCATTGGTTTCTTCGAGCTTTTGTTTCTCTCCCTGACTTGGGGTCTGGGAGGACGGTCTCAAGTCAGCAGTGTGGGTGTCCTGGTAACACTCACAGCCCCATGGCAAGAAGAACCATAAGTTGATGACCATGAAAGCCAAACCAGCCAAGGAACTCTCAAGGAACTTTACACTTTTCCTCAAAGGAAATTCAGGAAATGCAACATTTCTTCTCAGCCTAACTCAATTGGTGTGTATAGCAGCAGTGGGCAAATCTGACCCTCTGCCAGTTTTTGTGTTTTATGGACGCATCGCCGTGCTAACTCTTTTACGTCCTGTCTATGACTGTGTTCATGCTCAGCAAAGTTGAGTAGCTACAGCAGAAGCCATATAGCCTGTGAAGTCTAAAATAGTTACTCTCCCTTTATCAAAAAAGTCTGCTGACTCTGGCTGTACTGGGTATCTGAATTGGGTTTAAATGGTTTGCTGCAGCCCTGAAAAGTGAATTTGCTCTGAGGTCTCTTGCCTTTGAGGTGGGGCTACTTTGGGCCTACGCAACGTGAGAGCATTGTGTCTGTTGCTCCGGCAGTCACTGAGCTGTGAGTGCTGTGCCCCATTGGATGGCTTGTGCCTGGTGACACCCCCATTGCCCCACACCACACTGCCACGCCCCCCCCTCCCCACGTCACCCCCTCCCGCCCCCACCCACATGAAATGCAGCTGCCTCTTTCAGGCAATTCCTTGCCACACTGCCAAGGACAGGAAGATCTGGCATATTTTCCCAGATGGGGAATTGTGCCTATGGCTTGCATCTTCCCGGAAGCAGTGGTGAGAGCTAGCGTTAGCTGATGGGTGGATTAACCGGCCTGAAAGTGCCAGCATCTGGGCTTTCACACTTCAGTTATCACGTGCCCGGGGTGTGTGATCCTTTCCTGTCTAAAACACTGATCCATCAATCCCAAGCTACCCTCTTTCTTTGCGGCACTTCTCGTGTATCAAAGCCCTTTGGGGTCTGTTTACACCCCCTTGCCCGAAGGTCTGCTCACCAGCACGCTCTCACCGCGCAGCTGCAGCCTGTCAGCGCTGTGGTCCTGTCAGGAAAACCTGCCCTTTAGAGAGGAGCGAACGGGGCGTAGGTGCTACTAAGAGAGATCAGCGCCCCAGGTTAACCCTCTTCATGGCAGTGCGTGTCCCCTGGGCCAAGGGCAGAGTATGTGGAGGCTGGGTGATCACTTCCAAGTCTGTTTTCAGAGACCCTTTGTCCTCTCTGGGGTCTCAGAAACTGCCCTTTGCTACCGCCTGGAAGATGACATCCTCATGCCGGACATCCAAGCTGAAAAACCCGGCTGCTGCCCTGACCTATTTCCCTTCTTCCTGCTGGCATCAGAAGGGAGGATGTCCCCCTGGGGAGCTCATTCCAGCCAGGACACAGTACTGGATTCCCTCTTCCCCACTCCCCCCTGCTTTTTGAGAAACAAAGAAGCATAAAACATTACAAGCAACTGTTGCTGTTGGAATGACACGTATTTATGTTTCAGGGAAATGTGGCCCCAGCAGTGACTACTGATGCATATTTATGGAGGGGTGTTTGGAAAAGAAAACTTAGAATCGAGGAAAAGCAGTTCCATTTGTTTTAGCACCAAGTCTGCTCTACCTTCTCTAAGATAACAGGCCTGAGCATTTTAACGTTGATCAGAATCTGCATTTCCCCGCACCCCTCTGTCTTTCCCCATGACTCCCCATCAGCTCTTCCTCGCCTCTGTCCCCGCCAGTCTGTGCAACCCCTTCCCTGTCCAGGAGACGCAAGGGAGGAGGAACAGTAGCTAGTTAGTTCTCAGATATAAACCATGAGAACAGTTCGAGCCACAGG